TACTTCGAAGCTTGACCTGAAGTCTTAGGGCTCTCTTCTTTTGGGTTTAGGGTTTAGGGTTTAGGGTTTAGGGTTTAGGGTTTGGGGTTTAGGGTTTTGTGTTAAGGGTTTAGGGTTTAGGGTTTAGGGTTTAGGGGTTTAGGGGTTTAGGGGTTTAGGGGTTTAGGGGTGTAGGGGTGTAGGGCTTCGGATTCAGGGCTTAAAGTTAGGTTTTAGGGGTTTAGGGTTTAGGCTTTTACATGGGGTCTTTTGTCAAGTTCTTATGGGGGTTCCTTCGGGTTTTGCAGGGGTACTTTATTAAATATGGTGTTCATCGAGGTGTTACCCTGAGGGTCCAAGTACCTAATAATCATACACTCTCCCAAATACTAAACTACAAAGCCACTATCCGCAAACCAAGCACCAAAAAGAAGCTTAAACCCTAAACCTTAAACCCTAAGCCCTAAACCTTAAACCCGACGGTTCTTATTGGTCCTTTGGACCCTTAGGGTGGCTGGGCCTGGGTAGAGTGTGAATAGGGCTTTGCAGAGGTTATGAAGTTCTAGGTTCGCAAGGCTTTAGCGGTTTTAGGGTTTAGGGTTGAGGGTTTAGGGTTTAGGGTTTAGGGTTTAGGGTTTAGGGTTTAGGGTTGAGGGTTTAGCATGTATAATTACCAGCTCTTTCCAAGTATGGGCTTATTGGGGGCCATATTTGCTGTAATTTATCTGATCACAGGCTCGGCTCCAGATAAGAACCCTAAGCCCCAAACTCTGAAGGGTAGTTTGGGAACTCTAAGTAAGGTTTATAACACTTAGCCCTAAACCGTGGGGGTGGAAGCCTCTGCCTTTGCAGAGGGAGCGTAGGGTTCAGAGTTTTGGGGTGTAGTGTTCAGGGTTGAGGGTGTAGGGTTTAGTGTGGCTCTAGGGTTTACACATCCGCAGGGTTTTAACCTAAAAGGGAAAGGGGGCCAATCCTTGAACATCGCAGGTGCGAGGCTCCACGTCCGAAACTATCCAGCACCTAGAGCCCTAAGATTTGCGACACAAGGATGCCGATTAATATAGGGGCCTTAATAATTACCTGTACTATTTCCCGTACATTAGAGTCCCACAGATATTTCTGCTAGCCGTTTCATCGCCATTTCACATATTTTCGCTATGTGTTTCCTATCTGCCCGTCGTTTGCAAATTCATGAATAAGTCTTTTCAATTTCATGATTTGTAATTTCCTTTGATTTCGAGGGATTAAGAATTCTTAGGATCTAAAACCCTCAAACCTAAACCCTAAACCGTGTCTAAACCGTCTTCAACCCGAGAGCTACTTTGTCAGAGACTGATTTCTGGCTCCCATGGAGGCAGCTTCGAGCATCTTGTCGAGACTTGCGATCACAAGCCGGTCCATTGGGCTCGTTTAGCGTTTAGGGTATGGGGTTGAGAGTTAAGGGATATTAAGAATTTAGGTTTCAGGGTTCAGAGTTCAGAGATGTTAAGAGTTTAGGGGGTTTAAGGAGTTCTTGTGTGTTTACGGCTTTAGGCCTGTTCTGATTCTGGGTGTGTCAGTGAGTTTTGGGCTCCCAAGGGGTTTACAGGGTTTCGTCGGATGTTTTTTGAGTTCGGTCGGGTTTTTGGGCATTACCTTCCAGCCCCAAGCCCCACCGTCTGGTGGGTTTAAACCCCATGCCTCAAACAAAAAGCCTTACAGCCTTAAATTCTTAACCTTGAACACTAAACCTTACACCCCGCAACCCTAGACCCTGAACCTTCCACCCCAAACCCCGAGACTTGCCGCGATTTTTGTGGGTCTGGTTCGCCTTTTTCGAGCTTCCGACTTCGAAGGGTTTAGGGCTTAGGGGTTCAGGCTTCGAATTTTAGCATAGGCATCATCAGCAGCTTGATGTGAGGGTTTCAGGGTTCTTGTGTTTATGGGGTCTGCAAGGGTTTCAAGGGGTTCTTGCGCTGTGTGGTTGTAAGGAGTTGTGCTATGTGGTTTCTATTTGTTTGAGGGTTCCAACATTGTATGTGTCGTTTAGGGTTCGAACAAGAAGGGATTTCTAGGATTCTTTTTGTACGGTCTTACAGGCCTTGTAGGGTTCTTTGGGGTTGTGAAGGTTTGGGGCTTAGGGTTCTTAGGAGCACCTTCATTGCTATATGCATTTCGCGGGAAAGGCTGGCGGTGATTGGTCCTACTCCGGCGTGCTGCCATTGGGGTTGAGGGGCTACCCTTCTACAAAGATACCGACCCCAAACCCTAAACCCTACAGTAAACCTCTGTAGGTATGACGATTGAGCTTTTGTCCCCTCGTTATGCGTCCCTGTACCTTCACGTTCCGTGATCTTGGGGATGCCTACTCTTTAGGGTTTAAGTTTAGGGCTTAGGGTAAATCCAGGTTCTGGTCTACAAAATGCCCAGAACCCAATGCTGAACTGAACCAGGCCCCCAAATCCAAATCCTAAACCCTGAACCCTGAACCCGCGTCGCTCTACACATGTTTTGACATCGCTAGCCAGGATGTGCCTTTCGAGAAGAAGCGCATCCGTGCGGCAGGCATTCTTTGCAGTGAACCCTGACCCCCAAAGCCCTAAATCCCTGAACAAGCCCAGAGACTCCAATATCCCTTAATTAAGTAATGTTCCTTAAATGATAGCAGGATCCTTAATATGATTCAAGGTATATTCCTTAACTAAGGGATATTGGAGTCTCTGGGAGACTGGGGCAGTGAGTGTGGCTCATGGGTTCACTTCTTCGGAATGCTTCGAGCGTTTTTTCCACACAGCAAAGAGAAAAGCTCGCGCATGCTATAGTTCCAGCAGGCTCTAAGGTGCAGTTGTCGCTCCAGCACTCGCGCAAACGTTTGTTGCAGCTGCAGTAGCAGTATGAGCGATGTGCGTCGCCGTCGCAGCAATACTTGCAGTAGCATTAGCAGTAGTTGCGGCGGCAGCAGTAGTTAAAGGCAGCCCTAAACCCTAAATCCTAAGCCCAAACCTTAGTGGCTCTGAACTTCGCAAGAACCCTTGCCGAGTCAAGCTCAGCATATTGTGCAAGCACCTGAATGCTGCATGTGGGTTCGTCTGAGATGTCAAGACAGAAGATACAAACTGCACGCTACCACCAGCCCTAAACGCCTAATACCGGGGCTTTAGTAATAACCTACATGATTTTTGAGGGTTCCTTGTTGGAACTGCAGTATTTCATACCCCAAAACCCTATTCTAATTATTAAGGCCCCTATACCCTAAAAGGCCCTTATAGTAGCCCTTATAGTACCCTTTAAGGAACCGTTTAAAGGAACCCCCCAAAACCCTAAACCCTAAACCCTAAACCCTAAACCATAAACCCTAAACCCTAAACCCTAAACCCTATTCTAATTATTAAGGCCCCTACATTCGTTCCAGTGCAAAGTTGGTCGGAGGAGGCTACGTTCTGCCACGGGACGATGAGAACCCCGCCAGGGTTGACGGTGTGCACCTGGGCAGCAACCAACGCTCTTTATAGTTAGGGTTAAGGGTTAAGGGTCTAGGTCCTTTAGGTTTTAGGTTTTCGGGTGAAGAGTTGAGGGTTGAGGGTTTAGGGTTTAGGGTTTATAGTTGTGATAAGGAGCCCCCAAAATAGCATTGGTAGTCATTTAGGCCCTTACATTATTGTAGATCTTAAGATCCTTGTCTTTGGGTTCTTTACTCAAGGGCGCCTCAGGAAAGATGTGACGCCAGACGCAGCAGGGGTAGGTTTTACACCTTGGATCTAAACCCTTTGGCTTCCTGCTTTAGGGTTTAGGGTTTAGGGTTTAGGGTTTAGGGTTTAGGGTTTAGGGTTTAGGGTTTACGGTTTAGGCTTTAGGGTTATCGAGCTGCTCTCGCTGACAGGGGCCTTGATCGAGAAGGGCTTCGGGCTTCATTGCAGTACAGTTCAACAGGGACTAAAAAACACGAGACTGTTCTTGATTACCGAGACATATGGGTAGCTGAAACTTATTGGCTGTAAACTCAACTTTTCAACTTTTGGGGTTCCTATAAGGTAGTCGGTTCTGAAAGTTTCAACTTTTATTTCCTTGGGTTTTGGGCCAGTGAGAAAAACACGAGACTGTTCTTGATTACCGAGACATGGGTAGCTGTCAAAATTATGGTCCCTTTTGAGGTACCCTAAATAATACATGCCAAAAAGGGACCATAGTTTTGACAACCACCCATATATATATATATATTACCCTAAACCCTAAACCCCAAACCCCGAAGGCCCTAAAACCCTAAAGCCCTAAATCCTTACACTAGGGGCTGGTTCGAAATCAGGGGTAAGGAGGGTCCTTATCACAGCCCCCCGCCTGCCGGCACCCGCACTCCCTGTTAGGGTTTAGGGTTTAGGGTTTAGGGTTTAGGGTTTAGGGTTTAGGGTTTTGCAAGCCCTCTACCCCCAGAGCCCACTATACCCTTTAATTACGGAATAGACGTTAAATCATAATAGTAAGTCCCCTATA